AGCAAGAACCAAGACTGGGGGACAGTATGACAAACTAGAAGCATAGGCTCTACACAGAACAGATCAGCATTTGAATCCCAATGAAGCTTCATATTAGCAGCAGGTCATTGGACCAGTAATGTAAGTTCCCTGTGCATCAGTTTTCTTATCATATTTAGAAAGTAGGGATATAATCTTTAGGATTGTTCTGAATACTAAATGAGATATTGTTATAATAATATAAGCAACAAAAAGATACTTGTGGTGGTTTTTGTTTCTTATTTTATTTTTTTTAAATGAAAACCCATTTTTGTTTCTAGAAAGCATCTATCTGAAACAGCTAATAATGATTGCATATTCTGATGACTGGCAGCCTGGGTTGGAAGGTATCCCCACTTGCTATAGGAATGGTGTAAAACTTCAGTGGAGACCTTGGAATTTGGACAATGTGCATTATTTGCTTATGAACATTATTTCCCTGGGAGCAAGAAGTCTGGCAGCAGCTGGGCTGATTGCTCTGCTTTCCTAGAAAATTAGAAAAGTATAAAGGGTGGCCTTTTTTACATCAATTTCCTGGCAGGAGGACCTACCAGGAATCTCACTCACAAACCCAGAAGCTCAAGTGATCCAAGCCCAGAAAGAGGCGAGGCCACCCAACTTTCCACAGTTACCTTAGCAGCTCATGCATAATGAATCCGTCCAGCTGATCAGGATGTCTCCCTTCTTGAGCTGCAAAATATGCTGAAATAAGGAAAAGGAGAAAAGCAAATAGCTACTCTCAGGCTGTTCAATCTGCAGTAGATTTCATGCCTTCTCAAATATTTTCAAAAGTGTTAATTGGCTAATCTTGATCATTGATCATGTTTCCAAGCAATCTTGAGGTCAATTGCAAAGTTTACTCCTTTCACCTAATACAGGGAGACTCAAAAATAACCCAATCATTGCAAATTTGTGGCAGAGACAAGAGTGTGTTTGGCTTCTCTGACATTTCTGATGAGCACAGAAGACTATTTCCCATGAGGATAGTCTCTACCCACATACTGGACCATAGAAGACTGCACTTAGACCATTTGATAGCAGGGCTTTCAGCAAACACGTACTCCCACTTGCCACTCTGGAGAGGCATAACTCATTGGGATTATTTGTTCTTGGAGGAAACCAAGCACTGGAAGGAAAGAGACAGACCATAGAGACAGAGATAAATACACCTAATTATAGACTGAGCTATTAGTGTGACATGAATTGCTGTCTCTGAAAATGATCTGACAGCCAGCAAAAGCTCCCGTCACCAGCCTAGCCTGTTAGCAAACAGGGCCCTGCCCCGACTCTCCCAGCTGCCTCTGTGGCTTCGTGTCTTCTCCCTGGGCTTTGCTCATGAAAATGAATTTCATATTTCAAATGACTTCTGTTTTTCAACGTTTGAACATAGCTGCTGGCATCCTTCTGTTTTCCCTGGGTATTGTTAATATTTCTCGATTTATTTAAACAACAGCTCTAACCCAGGTCACCACTGACTGAGTGCAGTCACCTATGTACCTAAGGCTCTTGGCTCTGCCCTGCATGGAGAACTTGCATATCTTCTCTGCAGCATCTCCTGCTCCAGGGAGAATTTTTGTCCTTTATTTGCTTAACCCTCATAATTCATTTAGATCAAATCAAATATTTTTTCATGCCAACATGTGATAATGAATACTAATGAACATTTACTCTTCTTCTTTCTGAATTTTATTTTATAGCATTGGAATGAATGGTGAGATTTCCTCTGTTTTCAAAGCATCTGGTCCACATGGTAGATGTGCTTGGAATACAGGATTTTCATATATTTAAAATGGGCGCACCACCTCTGGCTGAATTCATTTGGGAAAGAAGCTCTTACATAATATTTGGGGACAATTTTGGAAATAAATATACAGCCCAAATGGAGATAGTAATAAAAATTATTAATGTCCTTTGTCTGAGTTCCTTACCAATATGCAGAGATGCAGAAGGGTTTGAGAAATAATTACAGAAGATTATAAAGAGAAAGCTGGAGGTAATAGTTAACTTCTCCCATGCAAATAGGATTCTGCAACAGAACAACAGTCCTGAAAACCAAGTTAACTATTATGATGAGGATTTACTTTATTCCTCTGCACTTTCACTCCATCCATCTTTGTATGTCAGCAACCATTCCTGAAAGACTGGGATTGTAGTTTTTTCCCCCTAGTAAGAAGATAATCTTTCTTTCTTTGACAGCAAAGTCAGGGGGCCTGTAAGCTAATGACATAAAAACCTTCTTGGAGTTTGAGTTTGGAGAGTAGTTGATATGCTTCCTAAGAAATAACCAACATTGACAACTCAGGAAAGAGCTGAACTTTTAGGATAGTTCTCTACCAACAACAGCCCAAAGTCAGGCTATGATCACTTAAGTCACAGGGTCAGATGGAACAGAGCCCTGGAGTTCAACTTCCCAGGATGATGTCAATGCCAATGGACCATGGATGCTGAGTTGATGGCTAGCAGACCTGCTAATCTGCCATAGCAGGCAAGACAGCCCTGCTGCGGCTGACACAGGTCTGCAGTTAGCAGGAGTCAAGGAGAGGCCACATTATTCAAGGACTCCTTGAGGCCTTGCCTGAGCCAAGAGATTAAGTCATGACTTAAGTCAACCACAGGATGAGGATGAGAAGCACCCATGAGGTGGGACAGGACCATCACTCCAGCACCAACCTGCATACAGTCCAGGACTACATGGGGCTAGGAGTTTCCTTCTTTCCAGTAAGAGGCTGGGGATTAAGACCCCTTCTTCTCACACAATTAACTGTACCCTAGGAGAGAAGCAGAAAGGGAAACCAGGAGGTTCCCTTCTGAACATTTGCTGAAAGAATACTCATGAACACATAATGACTAATTAAATTTAAACTGATGGGATGTTTAATTAATAGTGTTCTCATTAACCTGGGAGTAGAGGCTTGGAAGAAATGGCAGGTAAGAGTTCTGCTGATGAGGTTTGCCAAGAAGGCAGACAAATATGTCAAAAAAGGTGCTACGTATTATACTGAAAACATACCAAGGCATTCTTTCCCTTTGCTTAAGTCTCATGCCTGAAATGATTTGCTTTCATTTCTGTTTTCTTTGCTTTTTCTTTATACTTTATTTACTTACTTTTAAAGCTTCATCCTTTTCTCTTTGAGGAAAATAAAAACTCATATTTAGCCAAATGCAAGCAATACTATGAGTAACCTAGGATACCTTACCAAGTTGGTCATGAGCTTGTGATCATTCAGGGTATCAATTGGGTTTGTTCAAGAGAAGCTTCTGGGTGAATTTATTTGAAAAAAGAGCACTCTTAAAACTTTCAGGTATGATTTGAGGAACAAGTATGGAATATGGAAATGGGTGCTCACTTACAGAACTTCCACAAACAGCCCTGTGTAGTATGAGAAAGGATGACATCGACATGTTTCTCTGAGGCCTCACGGCATGATCTTAAGCATCCTGGGTCCTGGTTCTCAGATACCCAAAAACTGGAAAAAAGTGGAAGAAACTAAACTGAATTTTTTGGCCCCTCATCTCATTGCATTAATGTCATTAAGTGAGACACTGCCTGCAGAATTAAATCTTTCACAAATGGAGGTTGCTATTGTAATTGTCAGTTTTAATATAGACATAGAGTACTGGTGAAAGACAATTTGAGTTCTATTTGCACATCGAAAGTTGGAACAAGCACATTTCTTTAGCCTACTTGCTTATAAGCATCCATCCTGCCCTAGGATTTTCTGAAGGCCCCACTTTCAGAAGCCCAGGAAGATAGTAGAACTTGCATTCCTGTGTTATAACACACAGGGTCATAATGGCTAGTACGTACTGTGTACTTAGTATATGGCAGGCAATGTCTGAGCATTTTACAAGAACTATCTGTTTTCATCTTCAGAGTGACCCTATGAGTCAGAGACCATTTACATTCCCATTTCACGAATTAGGAAACAGACTTGGAGATATTAAATGACTTTCCCACAATCATCAGATAGTTACAGATGTGGACAAAACAACAACAATAACAAAACAAAACAGGCATAAGAGCCAAGTGATAACTTATTATGATACCCAAGCCGTGAACAATCCCAGAGAAGTCAAGGTCTTCTGTCTCACACCTGGCAGGAACCTGCTGTTGTCCTGTCCTCCTATTGTCATCCTGTGTGCAGCAAAAGGACCCTCAATTTAACTCTTGTACAAAACAGATTTGCAGAGAATATATAATGACTTTACCACGTCTACAACCTAGTCTTTGTTATTGGTAAGCAAGCACACAATTAACTAAGGCTCCAGTCCAGAAAAGCTATCGCAAATAAGTATAGATTGGGCAGAGTTACAGAGGAGAGGGCAGGCTTGGGAGGAACTGCCCTGAGGTAGGAGGACTTCTGAGCTGTGGAAAAGCCTGTGGATTCTATGTAGTTCTGGGGAGAAGAGGAAAATCCTAAAGAAGGAAGAGAGCCTGAGGAGGGTAAATTGACAGGCAGAAAAGTAGCCTCTCTTGTGTCATCTTGGAGAGCCCACATCTGTGTTTGTGCTGTTAGGTAAAGGAAAGGCCATGCAATCACAGAGTGAGAAGAGACAGAGTAGACAGTATCTATTATTTCTATAAATAACTTCCTGTATATATGTGTACAGTCCTTTACAGACTATAATATCATGTCACATACATAATCTTACCAGATTCTCCAGCCATAATTGTTCTAACCTATGGGTCCTCTCCCTGTGCTGCATCAGTGACAAGCAATTAGTATGTGTATGGAACCAAGGCTGTTTACACTTCATGCTTCAGAGCTAATCATCTCCCAGTAGTTTATTTGTTCATTTGTTTTTATGTAAACTGTTGATTGTGAGTAGAATTGGGGACAGCAAGGGTTACAAGCTTATAAAAATATCCTCAATTACTTTCAAATGCTGGTACTTGTCCTTCCATATGGCCTGCCTGAGATAGCACTTAGCTGAGCCAAAGCTTGAAAATGAGTCACAAGTCTGTACTAACACATCATTTATTCACTTTAAAAAATATTTTATTAATGCATTATGTTATGCATAATATCAGTGTTCATTCCGACACAATCATACATGCATGGATTATAATTTACTCCAATTCAATCCGGAATACTTCCCCCTTCCCTTCCTACTCCCTCCCCCTGTTCCCTTTCCTCTCTTATACTGGCCTTTCTTCTATTTACTTAGTTTCTATTTTAAATGAGTGCATTATAGATATATAAAGAGGCATATTCATATATATACATAGGATATACATGAGGTATATTCATATATGTATGTAGGATAGTTTGGTTGGTTTCATTTCACCGTTCTTCTCTTTTCCTGTTCCTTCCCCCAACTCTCCAATCAGAGAACATTTACTTTTATAAGGAATATACAGACAGAACTCCAATGGAGACTTTTTTCATTGTCCTTCCAGGATGTTTACAAACTCTAGCAAGTCTCGTCGGTCACATGTGATACTGGGTAGCTGTAACAAATGCCATTTGGCAAAGAGTGAGTACAGTTAACTCCCAATTTTCCACACATGGATCACCCAGCTGGTGAGGATCATTCTTTCACACCCATCTGCTCATCTTCTGGGTCTCCTTTGAGATCAGAGATGTGTGGTTCTTCTCCTGGTACTACTCCTCAACCCCAAACCAGCTGGGAACATTATCTTTGATTTTCAGTTACCTACTGAGATGCTTTCTTCATCCAGAATTGGCTGCTTATGTCTCTCCATTCTCCCATCATACCAGATCAACCACAACGCTATAAGAGATGTGAAGTCAGGATTATTTTACAGACATTCAAAGGGAACAGCACACACAGAGGACTGCTCCATTTAAATTGGCAGATTTCCACTCCTGGATTCACTTGCTAAACATTGGGGTGGATGGAGTTGGCTGCCAGTTCGGGCTGATTTCCCATTGCTGTTGGCTGTTGGAGGCAGTGTGTCCAAGAGGTTCCTCCAACGGTAGCCAACTGCAACATTCCTGCCAGGCAGATCATGGCAGGTCAGAGAGCAGGTGGCCTTTCATGGGACTGAACACAAAGCCACCTTTTCCACTTTTTCCATATTCCTCCATGAGTCCAGTATTAAGGGTTTCTCCACCTCCATGCATAATTGTTCTGAAAGTATATGCAAATGTCTATCACCATCATCTAATCTCTATGTAAGTGTGGGTGTGTACATATGAATCAGAAAAATATCAAAAGTGAGACTCTGAGCTATGATGAAAAATAATTTTAAAAAACCATTGGTGTTATCTTCTTTGGGTTCCTGACAAATGAAGTGTTTGCTCTTCTGACCTTTGCACAGTGGAGTAACACACACCTCTTCCCAGGGAACCAGAAAGACAGTGTCTTAGATTCATCCTTGTAGGTGGTGCAGTTTCCTCAGAGGCTAGGTAGAGACACTGAATTCCACAAGGGCTTCAAGAAAAAAAAAACAATTTAAAACTGATTATAAAACCGTTTGTTCTGCAAGGGACACTTACAATCATATCTGAAACTTCATTTAGCAATTGTTTATTCACTCATTCATCTAATGCTCATTTATTGAGAGCTCTTTATGTTCTGAGGACATAGAAAATGTGACATTTCTCCCCGAAATAAATTATGATATAAATGGGAGAATTTCTCATGCTCCACCTTAAATAACCCACTTGGTAATTTTCGGAGCACTTTCACTTTACTTATCTCCTTTGATGCCCTTGAATCTGTCAAGGCTGGCTTGTTCTTTTACTTGACAGGTGAGGAGAGCAAGGTCTTTCTTGGTTGTGTTGTTAGTTGTTGTGGATCCAATAACTGAATCCTCACTAGCTGTGTGATTTGGGGCAAATTAACTAATAGCTCTGATTCTCAGCTTTCTCATCTCTAACAAGGGCATGAATAATAACTACATCTTTAATAAAATAACATTTGAAAGATATTTAGATGAAAGATGTGGCTCAAGCGGTAGGGCGCTCGCCTGGCATGTGTGCGGCCCGGGTTCGATCCTCAGCACCACATACCAACAAAGATGTTGTGTCTGCCGAGAACTAAAAAAAAATATTAAAATTCTCTCTCTCTCTCTTTAAAAAAAAAGTAAATGTTATGTTTATGGACTAAAATCTCAATGTTTAAAAAAAAAAAAGAAAGATGTTTAGCACTATGCCCAGCACATTATGTGCTCAATAAATGGTAACTATTCTTAAGTCTTGGAAGCTATTCTTAGAAAGGTTAGTAATTCTATGGTCAATTCTGAGATGTTGCTGCTATTATGAGGTGATGAGACTCCCCTAGGTGGGCTCTCCTGGCATTTTTGGAAGCAAGATTTAGCTCATTTTTAGCCCTTGGAGTCACCAGGGGATTTTGGCTGAGCGATGGTAAAACTGGTTTAGTGAGCAGGATCCTCACCCCATTTTTTCAAGCCATCCTCTCCTCCCACAAATACACATGCGCTAGACCAGGGCCATCTCCAGCTTCAACACTACTTCAACCCTTTGCAGGCTGTGATAGAAAGGGAGTCAGGTAATTCCAAGGCAAAGGTTCCTGTGAAGGATACCTGCAGGACCTGGCTGGTTGCTGGGTTACCATCTCCTGAGACTGGCCGGCTCCAGCTGGCCTGAGACTGATAGATTCAAGCTGATTCCCAGTAACCCAGCTTCCTTGCTTTGAAGGTCCTCCAGGAATGTGTGTCTGCACCAACAGATTGGCAGTGAACTTGGGAGGGCTAAATCTGATCCTTGTGGTTGGGCTGATGCTAGCTGGGAGAAGAAAGCCAGTAGGGTGGGGAGAATGGAAGCAGGAGTCCCTCCATCTGCCTGTGTCCCCTGACTCCCTAGAAAAAGGAAGGAGACCCGTGGGCTGTGATTTGCAGGAGGAGGTTTTTTCATGGGTTTTGAAGTGAAAAGGAGTATGGGGTAGAAGGGAAAGGTTCTTTGGGAATTTTTATAAAGTAGCTTCTATGAGTACAAACAGTGATGAATGGCAGCTACATTCACCACCAGAGAGAATCTGAGTCAGTTGTTCTACTCTGACCTTCGCAACTGTTATCATGCATTTGCTCAGTCCTGAGAATCTAGCAAAGAAGCCATTTTCAGTTCAACTCAACAAATATTTACCAAGCACTCAGGATATGCTAAACATAGTGCATGGTATATGGATGCCTTGGAGCTCATGGTCTAGTGGAAGCTGAAATTGAACTAGTAATAAAACATAGCACTCAGCACTATGAAAGGCAGGAACATGGACTCATGGATGAGGAGTACCTTAAGAGACAACACAGCCTGGTGTTTTCAGTGTGAGTGCTATTATCAGATAGTTCCCATGTGAATCCTGGCTCTGCCATTTGCTAACTGTATGTTAGTCTGGCTGAGCCTCATTTGTAAAATAAGATGATGATGATGATGATGATGATGATGATGATGATGATGATAATAATAATAAATATTTAGTTTATAAGGTATCATGAGAGCTAAGTGAGTAAATACATAAAAACCTGTCAAATCAGTATGTGGCACCCAGTAAATACCCAGCTGATGTGAGTTATTACTACAAATTCTTCCTTGGTCTAGTGGGTCATTCTTTAAGAATCATGTCCTATTACCTCTGCAGGATGAGAACGTCACAAGAGGAGGGCAAACCACTTTCTGCCTCAAGTATTATTAATTGCATAGCTGATCATCTTCTTGAGGATGTGGATTTTGATTGAAGAAGGAAACAATATCCTCAATTGCTATTTTTTTGATGCAGAAAGAGAGCTTCAGTTTGAGTTTTCTGGGAGCTCAGAAAGAAGGACATTTGTGAGTATTCTCACCAGCTGGTGGTCTAAGGCTGGTCCCCGAATCCTAAGGACAAATGAATGACATAAGAGCATCAATATGAAGTTGTTAAACTGAGCAAACATAATGGGCAAGGCTACAAATAGGCATTAAGGCTGGACTGATGTAATGTTCATCTTAAATGTGACTGAAGACATTTCATCAGAAGGAAAAAAAAGGCTAACAAAGATTGGCTGTTCTTTCTGCTAATGAGAGTTTCAAGTCACTCAGTGGGGCAGAAACAAAGTGATATCAATTCAGCTTTAAAGTTATATATCAAGAAGCTACCATAGACCATCCATACAACACACTTTCCTGTCTTATAAAGAGAAAGCAGGAATCTGCCAATATTTGGTTTGAAGATCTGATAAGATTTTACAAGAGCACATTAGAAATGTTTGTAAGAAGTAGCTGGGCTGGGGATGTGGCTCAAGCGGTAACGCGCTCGCCTGGCATGTTCGATCCTCAGCACCACATAAAAATAAAATAAAGATGTTGTGTCCGCCGAAAACTGAAAAATAAATATTAAAAAATTCTCTCTCTCTCCCCTCTCTCTCTCTCTCTCTTTAAAAAAACATAAGAAGGAGCTTAACTGCATTGCTAAGACATTCAGCAGAGGGTCACAGTGGATGGCCATCATTGCTACATCACTGTAATTCAAAGTTCTAAGTATTCTCCTTCCATTTCCATCATTTAAAAAAATCTGATTTGTTTGGTGGCCATCCAGAGTGTTAGAGGTTAGAATAACTGTAGATATTTCTATTCATGTTATTACATCCAAACTCTTTACTTTATATATGTCAACTAATGTCCAGAGAGTGGGTGACTTGTCCAGAGCTTCACCCACTTAATGGCAGGGCAGAAACTAGAACCCAGATGCCATGCCATGCATGGTTCACACCTCCTTATGAATTCTTGGGTATTGTTTGCCATCTGCAGGGGGATTCTCTGTGTTGGTGATAAACACCTTAAAAAAACAAAGATGAGACTGTGAAAAGATGTTTGCTGTTAGTTAATGGCTTACTTTTCATCAAGTTAACACTCTGATTTATTTTTTTTTTTTACCTATTTGATGTCTAAGGGTAGGCATGTCTAAGGCTGCAGGGTTTTGATAATGAGGCTTTCCTTTTTTTAAATTTTTTCTTTTTTTATTGATTTTCTTTTTTTAAAAGACATGACAGCAGAATGAGTTGCAATTCTTATTACACATATAGAGCACAATTTTTCGTATCTCTGTATGTAAAGTATGTTGACACTCAATTCGAGTCTTCATACATGGACTTTGGATAATGATGTCCATCACATTCCACCATCCTTGCTAATCCCCTGCCACCTCCTTTTCACTCCCACCCCCTTCCCTTTCCCCTTTTCTTGTTCCACCTAACAGCAGTTCTACCCAACATGGCCACTTCTCTTCTACATCAACATAAATGCAAAGCCTGCCTCAGCCCTTCATGTGAGCAAACCCAAAGCTCTTTCTCTGGGGTTCCATCTGCTCTTTAGACTTCTCCTTCATGAAGTGTGAATCCTTGTTTTTTTAAAGATTTTTTTAAAAGATGAACACGACATCTTTATTTTATTTATTTATTTATTTTTTATGTGGTGCTGAGGATCGAACCCAGTGCCTCACATGCATGAGGCAAGTGCACCACTGCTGAGTTATAATCCCAGCCCCTGAAGTGTGAATCTTATCATCATTATTTGTTTGCTTACCTGTCTTCTGTTGGAAATCATATGTGCCATGGTGTCAGGAACAGGACTTGATATTGAATCTTCCTGGAGCCAGAGTCTGAAGGCTGAAATATAGTTTATCCACCAAAGCAGGAAGAGAAACAGTGTCTGGCCACAGGCTCAGAAAAGTGAACGAGTTGGTGAGAGTGTGTGGGGGTTCTCTTCTGGTTTCTTCTGCTCTTTGAGATGGAATGAGAGGTCTTTATCTGAGAGTAAAGGGAAGGTTTGGACACCTAGGAGAAAGGGGGAAGATGTGAGGTTGCCGGGAGAGGGGCTGGAGGGCCTTGGAATGATGAAGATGTTTGTCTAGGACAGTTTGGGGTAGGCTGGGCCAGGGACATGTAACAGATCTTTGATCAGCATTACCAGCTCCCTTGAAGACAGAGACCATAAATTCTAGTGAGATCATTGGCAAGACAGTATTTTTAAAAGAGATTGTGCAGATGTAGATTCAACATTTATGGAGAGTTGTATCTAATAACGTTCAGAAATTTGGTGAGTGAGCACTCCAGTGGGAGATGGAGGCAAGGACAGAGTGGGAGTAATGTCACTATAATGGTGGATCATGGGATCACAGCTGGTTGGAAGAAAGGAGAAAGGAGGGGGCTGAGGAACAGTGTCAGGTCCATACAAGGTCAAAGAACTCTTGAGATCACTCCTAGTTGAGGGATTGAGAAAATGTAAATGGCTAGAGGATTTGTTTCATGAAGGGGGAAGCATAAAGTTCTCCTCTTAATACTGTGGCCAAGGGCAATGCAGATGGTTGGGGCCCTAATTCAGGGAACAGAAGAATGACGTCCACAGGTTCTTGCTCCAAGTGAGCTACTGCTGAGTCTCTGCTCCCCACCACTAGACTCTCTGTTTCTCCTCAGCTCTTTGTTCACCCAAGCCCATAACACAAATACCTGGTAAGACAAATAGGCCTCACTCCTGAGACATAGGCAGGTGTGCCACCCTGGAGCAGAGGAGGGGAAACTCCCAGGAACCAGGAATTGGCCATGAATATGAGCCAGGCTTTCACTCATAATCTCAGGCTCCTCCAGGGTGAGGAGGCATTATTCACCCTGTTTAACAGATGAAGAGACTGAGGTCTAGAGAAGTTATGTTACTTGTCAAAGTTCACACAGCAAGTAGTATGTGTTGTGTGGTTGGACTCATACCCAGTCTTTAGGTTATTTGTGCTAGAAAGAATTGAGACACTGGGCTGGGGCTGTAGTTCATTGGTATTGCGCCTGCCTCACACGTGTGAGGCACTGGGTTCAATCCTCTGCTCCACATAAAAATAAATAAAGATATTGTGTCCAACTCCACCAAAAAATATATTAAAAAAAAAAAAGAATTGAGACACTGTATGGATGTTTCCAAACCTCCTTTGAGATGACCCCTGGATTATTCCACACACTTGAACACACTGGAGTTGTTGTTTTTCTTCTGATCACCCAAGAGTCTGAAAGAATATCAGTTCTGAGTGGGTTAGACTATATTAGAGCAGTGGTTTCATAGAGTTGGGCTGTGGCACTGGTTTTTGACAAAAATAATAAAATAAAGAAGGTGTATTATTTTTCATATGTAAAGACAAGAATGACTGTCTCCTGTGTTCTTTGACTTCATGACATTTTTGGTATCAAAATGTTCTTGAACGTAATTTCTTTTTGCTATTAAAACATTTCTTTCTTAATTATGATATGAAGGCAAATAAAAAAAAATAGGGAATTGATTCGCTTGCTTTGGTGCCCTTACTAGGCAAAATAAATCGTTGGTACTAGATGCATTCTCATGTTTTTGGTCATTTTACCAGTCCATGAAATTGAATGTCTGGGAAGCACATGTTCAGAGAAAACTGTCTGGGACCCATCCTGAAGGGACTTGGCCTTAGGGTCCAGAGAGGGTGGAGCCCTTTGCCTCTTGGCTTCTCTGTCTTTCCTGAGCCAATGAAACTCATGGATTCAATTTAAATTTTCATTCGTTTGAGTACAAATCCCTGCCTAAGTTGCATTTCTGTATCATTTACTCTGCAAGAGGGTTTAAAGTTGGCATGCTCTTTCTTTAGTCCCTGAGCACCTTGAGGATAAAGTGTCCACAACAGCCTGACATCAGGCAGACTCTCTCAAGCTGGTGTTGCCAGGAAGCGTCAAGGGAGGGATGGGAAAGTCAGAATTCCCACTAGTAGTTGCCTGCTGGGAACAACACACCGTGACCCTCTCTTTTAATCAGAGGTTTGTCTCCTGATGGTGCAGCATTGAACAAACTATGTTTCCTGCTTCTGTGGCAGCCAGAAAGCAACCCACAGCAATGAGAAATTGAATCATGGAGGTTTGAGGTCAAGAAAGCCATGTTTTCTTGGATCAGATGTAGAGCATTACTCCAGCCTTGCAGGATGGGGCCCAGGGAGAGCTTATCCATCACATCCTCGTGAGTAATATGAAGGGATCAGAGTAGGATGAAATGAATTCTTAGAGAAGATCACCGAGTGATGGCTCCCCTGATGACTTCCTCACACCAAGGTACAACAGGACATAACTATGCTAAGCTTCAAAGAAAGGCTTTGGGATATTGGTTTTTCTCCTGGTCATTGAACTCAACATCTCCTCTTTCTTCTCTTTCTCTTCCTTCTTCATATAGTGTTCAGACTTCTTTTCATTTGGGCCATTTGTCATAGGCAATATGGTGTGGTGGCTCTCAGAGTCAGCTCTACATTCCTGGGATTTCTCATCCTGAACCCCCATTACCTACCAACGTTTGGACCTTGGGCACATTATTTAATCTCAGGAATGATTTTCTCAGCGGTAAAAGGGAATAACAATAGCATTCACCTCTCTGGTGTTATTGGGGGGATTAAGTGGAAAAATACTTGTCAAGTACTAGAAGTGCTTACCACAGAAAAAGCATTCAATAAATGTCAGCTGTTAGGATTATCTCTTAAAAGTATAGAATAGGCAGGAAATGGGTTGTAGAGACTCACACCAACTAGCATTTTTTGTGTGTGTGTGGTGGGGAATCCTGCAGAACTGCAGATGAAGTCTTTGCCACTGCACTGGGTTTAGTCTTTGTTGAAGGTATGAACTGAACATCTGCCTCCTGAGAGTCCTTCCTGGGGTTCCCAGTGGTGGGACAATATCTAGATGGTTAGACCTTCTTGCTTGACCATCCTACCCTTAGCCAGGGATACAATGATATAACTTAGTGACACAGATTTCTACTTTCAGTTTAAAAAAATAAAAGAAACTACTTTGAATACCCACAGACAAAAATTATCCAGGTGACCTGAAGAAAAAAATCAATGCAGTTCTCAAAAACCTCTACTTGGTTCTATCTACACAAATGAGAAATGTGACTGAATACATATCTTTCTTTTCTAAAATGCATGAAACTGTCTTATAGAATGATTTGATTCATAGCTTAGACCCTCCAGTACTGTTTCCCCTGGAACAGAAATGGATGCATTAGAAGGAAAGTTATATTTGTAACAAATAAATGCTGCTCTGACTCCAGTGGCCCATGAGGCCTAAAACACTTGAGAATTTATATCGGCTGGCAAAGTGTGATTGATCCCGGGCTGAGATGCAATATGTTTGGAAAGCCTTGGTGTATAAGGTGACTTGGAGCAGAAAACACGTTCCTAAAGCTTGTCCTCCTTAACAGAACTGCTTACTAATTTAAAAATCCACCAGGCCTTGCTTCCGTTTCATCCTACAAATTTCACTAAGAGAGGACATGTTGCATTAAGGAAGCAATTTTTCTTCCGTTGATTTAAAACCGTAACATTTATTCACTAATGCAAAGTGAGCAGAGATTTTAATTTATCCTTGAATGCTCAGAAGCATGTTCATCTTTGTATAAATTGATTTTAACTTTGTTTTAAAGCAAGGTGAGTTTGGCTTCACATAAAATAATGGGGAGATGTGGGACTCTGATCAATAAGCTTTTACCATGAAGAAATACTTTCATTCCAAAGAAAGTACAACAGCTTCACTTCAGTGAAAGTGCAATAAAAGATCCTTTCCAATGATACAAACTTCAGACTTGTTCTTTGATCTTGAAAAATCTTTACAAGAAAAGAAAGCCAAGCGAAATGATCAAGTAAATGGAATTTCAAATATTTTATCTTGAATGATACATGGGTAAAGTGAGGGTATGTTTATAATCCACAGGAAGACAAGGATTTTTTTTTTGATCATCCATAAAAATGGTACTCAACAAATCATGTATACTTTTATGGTTTTTAAAATCTGGGAAATCTGAAAAAAGTGATTGTATTTTATTTTAATTATGGTGTGCGAAAGTCTCCAGATTTTCCAAATTCTGTATTTTTTAACATCCATATTATATCAAAATTATTTTTTATTGATTTTATTATTTTTTAAATATATGACAACAGTGGAATGCATTACAATTCTCATTACACATATAGAGCACAATTTTTCATATCTCTGTATGTAAAGTATGTTCACGCCAATTTATGACTTTATACATGTACTTTGTTGGTTTTTTTGCATTACCATTCTTAATACACATATATATCACAACTTTTCATATCTCTATTTTTATATAAAGTATGTTGACACCCAATTCAAGTCTTCATATATGTACTTTGTATAATGATGTCGACCATATTCCACCATCCTTGCTAATTCCTAAATTTTGTAACTTATTTCTCTGAATTTTTGCTCTATTTGGACAAAGATTAGCCTTCGTTATCTCCAAAAATGCCATAGCTTTCAAAGACAGGTATCTATTTTTTCTAAATTCATTCTTAAAGTTTCATGTAATCAAATTTACTCTTTGTGTTACACAGTTCTATGTGTTCTGAATAAAGGTAGAGTTGTATCCATCATAATACAGTTTTATCCCCACCTCCAAAAATCCCCCTTTGCTGCCCCTTAGTGGCCACCCCTCCCCTCTTCTCATGCTCCCATTCCCTGGCAAAAGTGGATCTGTTTTTTTGTCCCTTTTGTTTTGACTTTTCATAGAATGTCATATCGAGGGAATATACAGTGTGCAGGCTTTTGGGTCTGGACTCTTTTATGGAGCAAAATGCGTTTAAGAGTCACCCATGTTGGCGCACATGTCATATTTTACATCTTATTACTGCTAAATAGTATTCTATTCTACATAAAGATCACAATTTCATTATCCCTTCCCTGTTGACAGAAATTTGGGTCATTGTTAATTTTTGACAGCTGGTTATGAATAACAAATAAGCTGGTTATTAACAGTCATGTATGAGCTATTATGTGACCATAAATTTTCATTTTCTTTTGCTAAATAACTGGGACTAAATAATTGGGTCATTTGGTAAGCATGTTTAACTTTTTAAGAAACTACCACACCATTTTCCAAGGTAGTTGCACAATTTTACATTTGTTCCAGCATCATATTAGAATTCTAGTCGCTCTACATCCTCATCAGCACGTGGCATTGTCTTCATTTTTATTTAGCCACTCTAACAAGAGTGCCCTGGTTTTATTTTCCCCAATGACTAATGATACTGAGCATCTTTCCATGTGCTTATTTTTCTTTGTGTATTTTCTTTGGTAAATTTCTGTTCAGAACTTTCCCCTATTTTTATTGGATTGTTTGTTTTCTTATTGTTGAGTTTTAAGGGATATTTATATATTCTGGATAAACGTCTGCTGTAAGATATGTAATTAGAATATATATTCTTCCCAGTCTGTAGCTTGTTTTTCTCATCCAATTGAAAGTGTCCTTTATAGGAAAAAGATTTCAATTTTGATAAAGCCCTTTTTTTTTCTTTTATGGATTATACTTTTGGTTTCTTTTCCTAAGTCAATGCAAAGATATCATTTATGACAAAAATTTTGGCTTCACTCCAGAGACTTGCAGTTGAACTTTTTAGTATCCATTAATTGAAAAAAAATGCAACATGACAAAATGTATTAATCACTACAGGTTACCCATGCTTTTGAATAAGATTGGTATATCTCCACTTGAGAGAGATGTGCTTCGACTTGGTTAGATCACCAGTTTCATGTGCAAATCCAGGACCCTCATTGTTCCAACTGTGCATTCCCTACCACAATTTTTCCTGTCTCCTTCATTAGTTAGAGTTCTTTGGGGGCAGCAGATACAGGCTGTGGTCTGGCTTTCATTTGTCAGGAGTTCATAGCCTCAGTGAGGAGGGTGGAAAGCAATGCTTTGAAACAGACAAGGACTAAGGTTGTTCCTGCAGCTTCAGGAAGCCACAGTTACAAACATTAAAACACAGGTTAGTTTTACTCCACTACTGGGGTGGTCAAACCACTGTAGCTTTCATGAATTAACTCCTGTTGTTTTCAGACTCTTTGCTCATTGAGTCAGTATTCAAATTTCAGATGGTAATATAATGGATTTCCCTGATGCCTGGTCTCTTTGTTATCATGGCACTCAGCATTATAGATGCCCAGAGGCTAGTTTTATATCATGAAATGGGAGTCCTAGCATCAGACGCTGTGGGATCAGAATGTCCTTGATCATCAGACCAGGGAACCAGAAACGCACACTGATATTCATTTCAACTCAAGGGACAGTGATCAAGAGCCTGATGAGTGAGGGCACTATGTAGGCAGTGGTGGTGTAACTACTATGCAATCTGTATAGCTCATGAAATATTACTGTCAATATGTTGTGGTCTCTTAGGGCATGTGACTCTTACTAGGAAAGATGGAGTAGGATCCATAGATGTTGTGGCTTTTGAAAGGTAAGTGGGTGTTTACCAGAGGCAGAAGAGTAGGAAGTAAGTCCAGAAGGAAGTAATTTCAGAAAGAGAAGGGTACATGGTTTATTGTAGCATGGAGAGCAGTGTAATGATAATGAATAGCTGGGGAAAAGGTGGGAATAATAGGATGGAGCCAATAGTCAGGGATTCAGATTTAGACTTTTATTCCATTAACAAGTTGGAGCAAAGCCCTAAGCTGGCCTCCCAAGTGGGCTGTTGGTGAGGAAAGGCAGGGAATGAAGTAATCATAGACATTGCTATATCAGTACAGAAAACTGATTTTTCTATGTGATGCTCTGAGATTTAAAAAAAA